AAAGTTGTAAAGTGGGAAATGTAATTTTTTTTTTCATGAATTTGCCAAAACCTTGTGCTTTAGGAGGAACTGAGATCAGTCTGTGACTAACGAGAGAGGAAAGTTCCCTTCGGAAGAACTGGCACAGATTTCTTAAGTCTTTCCGTCTTCTATGTCTTTGCTCCTCTCTTTGTAGTCTCAGGCCTGCGTGCTTTAGACCGCAGAATGTGCAAAGATTCAAAGCAAACACACCGTTTTTTGAAGCTGGTAGTCGCTATTTTCCTTCTGACACCTATGAGTCTGTGTATTGTTGCATCAGGCCTGACCTGATTTCAGATCAGGCTGATTTTCAAACTGTTCTTGTCAGAGTAGCTTTTAGTTTACCTGGAGCTCACTTGGAAACCGTTTTACTCTGGTATAACGTGGTGTTGTGCATGAGGTGCTGGAGTGCCATCCATTTGTAATACAAGAAAATATTCTCTATCAGCTATTTGTTAGCATTTAAGGAAGAAACAGCTTAAAACTCCGTCTCTGAAAAAGATCTATTTTTGGAACTGTCCTTTGTGGATGTACTGTGCCAGAAATCAGCTCTTTTGTTATTTTTTTAGCTGCAGTATTTGAACATCTCCAATACTGTCTTGGAAATAATAAAGGTAACAGAAGATTAGAATTATCCATTCAGCCCCATGCAAACGGGATAGACCAAATCTTGTTTCTGAAATCAAGCAAAAATGGTTTTACTTGCCTGAGGATCAGTCTTTTTCTTCTTGACATATGACCTATTTCAGTAGTCCTGGAATATTTTTGATTAGCTAAAGCTTACTTGTAAGTGTCCTTTTTTTGTTCGCATATTTGACAGCTGTTAAGTCTGAAGATGCAATTGCCAGAATCATGAAGATGCAATTGCCAGAACACTTGGTTTATTCTGTGATCATATTGTTTCTGAAGGGCCCTTTCATTTTCAGTTTTTATAGTTCTTTCACTCTGTGTGCCCAGATGCACAGTTTTCTCTATCAGTTTTTTTTTTCCCTTTCTTAAAATCCTGGGGAGGTAGAGGGCATGTAAAAAAACTGACATGTAAAACTAGCTGAGTTTGTTTGTTTGTTTTGCTTTTTAATGTGTAATTGTGGGGGCTTCAGAAAGGCCCCTTTTCTAGTTGGAGAGATATTACCACTAGCTGTTAGGCTAAGGGACAGTTTTTGTCATGTTTTCTTTTGTTAAGGGATAATTGTATTGCACTGCAATTCTCTGCAATTCTTCAGTTTTACTTAAGAACAAAACATAAATCTCACTGCTAAGGTCTGTAGTAGCCCTGCGTACCAGATGTCGGTATTGGCCTGTTAGGACACAAACCAAGGCAAATACATGGTTTAATAATCTGATGCTGTTTTTATCCCGGCATAAAACCACTAATCCTGCAGAGCTGTAACCAGGAGAAAGAATAAAGATTCAGAACCATTTTAGTGGGTTTCCTTGGAATCCTTTTTTGGTGTCTATTCTCCCTCCTGTTGTGCTGTGATAATTAACATTAACAAAAAGTGCTTGTAAAAGCGAGATTGTTACTACCAATTAAATTTAGATTTTCCACTGTGCTTGCTGTATGTTCTACTCAAAAAAAAAAAAAAAAAACTCAGGACCATATGGTTCCTTGCTTGATGGTCTATGTGGATATAAAGGGACTAGCAGATGTGAGCAAGGTGGACAGGATTCTGTTTGCAGCAGCTGACTGTCTGCTTGCCCTACAAATGAAGCGCTTATGTTTAAGTGAGAGATTGTTAATCCAGCCGATCCTGCACCATATGATTAGGGAATTTGACTTCATTGTTTGTAATCTAAAATAGTAAGCTTGAAGTAATAATCTGTCTAGGCGACACAGTTCTTGCTCGTACATCATACAGGATTGAGATGATGGGTGTTCAGATGTCGCGTAATAAATAATGGCAAAAATAGAAATGTAAGTAGTTTTAGCTGAGTTTTCAGCCTTAAAAGTAGTGTGATGTTTAAAAACCTTTGCAATGCTCTTACTGCTTCTCTCACATACATTGATGGGGGTAGCATCCCAGTTTTCATTCTAAATGGTTCTTAGTTAGCTAAGGAGTAATATTTCATAGGTTACAAATAAAAAGCCTGACTGAGATGGAAATACCACAACTCCAGTACTGAAACTGCAGTATGCAGAATATCCTCTGTGAATATTCTTGTCCCTAATATTCACATAGAATCCAGTATTGCAGCATTGGAGAGGGAATGGGAAGATTAAAGTCAGAGCCCTTTCTATCTCTGGTCTGCAGTTTAGCTTTGTTTGGGTCTCCTCACCTCAGCTGCACTAGGGAACACAATGTAAAACCTACAGTAGAAAAATTATCTGCTATATTAGGATTACTAATCTACTATCAATCTAATAACTTGTTCAGTACCTCTGCAAAATTAATTCTTGATCCTGGATACTATGTATCTATAAAACTATGTTTATACTGGGCACAAAATTAGTTGACTGTGAATACCATTTCTACTTACTGTTTTGGACAACATCCCCTCTGATTTTGTATGTGTTGTATTAATGCATCATAATTACACATTGTATATTTACTATGCATTATAGCTATACAGTTTAATTAATGTACATATTATATGTGTTATAATGAATGTGCAATTTTCTTCTTTATGGATTGTATTTTTCCTTTTATCGAGTTCTGTAGATATTACTTCTTACCTCTCACCCATGTAAGGTTAAGGATTATGAATGAAAACATTAGTTCCTAAACTATTAGAGTTTTTGTAAAGAGCCACCAAGAGCAGAAGTAAGCCCACCAGTATCCTACTGTTCTGATATATATATTTTTTTCTACATAATGTTTTGAAACACTCTTAAGGTGTTTTAGACTGGTAGGTTTCATGCTGTCTCTAGAAGGGAACTGAGTCATATATTTTGTCTGTCAATTTCCAAATAAGAGGGTTTTTTGTTTGTTTGTTTTTTTCCTTGGTCAATTTGTAATTATTCTCTTTTTAAACCAAGAATTGAATATTAGGCTCGATAACTGGAACTCATCTTCCATATGCAGTTATTCTGAGTAGTAATGGAGTGACCTGTCCGTAGTAATTTAGGGCATTCAGACATGCCAATTAATTCTGCTTAAAGGTGTGTTAACCATGGACCGGGCAAGCTGCAGTGCCCGACCCTGTGTCAACTTGCAGCATGTAGAAAGTGCAAGGTGAACTATAGCAGCTTAACCTCCTGTCACTGTGACTTAGGCTGAAACCTGTTACTTTCCTGAGTTTTATGGAGTTGAGTGCATAGTCTATCCATCACACTAGGTTTGCTGAGAAATGGGAATTGGGTGAAAGCTTGAGATGAACAACATAGGACACAGGCAAGCGTAGGTGAACTGTGGTGAGGACAGCCTGGCTGTCCCCAGGGCCCCGTTTGCCACGTGGCTGAGATCAGTGCTTCACTTACTCATGAGGACCCTTTCCAGAGCGTTCAGCAAAGGTGCCGGAAGGCAAAGTGACAGCAGACTTGGGCAGCCGACAGCCGGCTTGTACGGAGCCCATGTGAGAGCTCCGTCGGCCTGTGCTTTGGTAAAGGGGTCTGGCCCCTCACGCAGGATGGAGGTCCAGTCTCCACTTCCTAGCTGTCGAGAGGTAATAAAGAAATCGGCTTCTTTGTAAAGCACTTTGAAATCTATGCATGGAAAGAATGATCTGAGAGTTAGGTATGTATTAATTAATCCTCATGATGTTGGCGGGATTTGATCACATATTTCGGTGTTCCTTGTAGTAGCAGCACTTTCCCAAGGAGCAATACATATGAATTAATATGTTGTGATAGAATCATATTATGAAGCCATATTAATTTTCAGACTCAATATTGTAGTTTTATTCAGTATCCTTTTGTTTATTATTTGACTTTACTTATTACCTCATTAGATCCACTACAGAAGAAATGATAAAACAGAGACTATTTCTAAATACACGTGTGTATATATATGTGAGTGTGTATGCACAACATGCAGCCAGAAAATAGTCACTCTCAGATGTTTGTTTTGTGCCAAAGCTTAGTTCACATTGATGTTTAACCTTGGATGTAGAAAGACAAAGAAGTAATGACTAAAAGAATTAGCTCAGTACACTAGACTACCTACAAAGATTATCTTATCATTCAGTGTGTGAAAGCACCTTTCAATACAGCATACTCTGAAGTTCTCTTTGAAGTAAGAACTTAAGTTGTTCAAATACTGGAAGAATAGGTCCAATACAGATTAAAATCATAATATGTGTGCAGAAGTTTTCGTAGCAATTATATATTTTATCTAATACCCTTTTACAGTTTTCACAGAGAAGACCAAATGCAAGCTAATATAAAGTCTGCCTTGAAGATGATATCAAAACGTAACAAAATCTAACATTCTTAATAGATCAATTTGTGTCTTCATTAAAATACCTCTCTCCGCTAGTTGAGTTTTTCTGGAGATCTTTGATAAAGCCAACAACGTCTTCTTACTATTCCTTTACACCTATTTACAAAGGAGGCAATCTGTGTTAATGTAAACTAGGGTGCCTGGAAGGAGGTATAGGCACATATTGAGGAAAAGTAGTTAGGCTTATTTGGTCTATGAGTTTACAATTAGATTTCAGAGTACTGTTGCGTGCTTAAAAGAGCTGTTTTTCTGCTCTGCTGTCTTCACAGCAAAGTATACAATCTCCCCTCTGTCTCATAGGCATTTCCTGTCCTAGGAATTTTTTGCTGAAATTTCCCACTCTTTCTGCTGCCCGCACAGCTCATTGGCTGCTGCTGAACGAGGGCGCGTGGGACTTCCTCTTGATTCAAGCCCTGCATTGTGTAAATTCCGAAACAGGGTCAGACAACATAGTGCTGCCAGCTGCACATCTGCAGCCATCTGGATTTGTAGCAGGAGCACGAAAATGGGCATTGCGTAGCAGAACTGAAAGAGTGGCAAAAGTGGTGCAAATCATATTTGCAAAGAAAAGTAAATTCTCCACATTTGTTCTACAATATATAGTTCAATCATTATTGAACTGTTCTTTTTGCTTATGCATCCACAAAGTAAAGCAAATGTGACAGGCTCAGGCTATGTGCTGTTCTGTAGAAAAATTCACTGCGTACTTGACTGCCACTACATTGTTACAAGAAGAGATAAGAAATCATTAAAAACTCTGATATTCATATTATAAACAGTCCTCTGCTCCCATTTTTGTGTGTTCATTAAAATTATGATTCTAGTAAACATCACTTCACAATATTCATTTATTATAACATTCTCAATGAAAAATGCACACCATCAGTTACAGTTTTAAAAGCAGAGGAGAGAAGTGTAGATGAGTGGTTGTGGTCCATGCTTTGTCAGTGCATATTACTTATTGTTTTGGGGATGTCTGGCTGAGAGACTTCTGATTTTCTTCATGAAACTTTTTTAATGGTCTGCATGTCTTGGGACCATTTTTGGAATAACGGCACAGCTCTGTTTGAAGGCAGTAGAGCTCCAGAAATTATCTTTGCTAGAGCCACAATTTAATTCATTTTGACTGTACGTCACTGAAGTGTCAATAAAAGTTCCAGTCCCTGCTTTTCTCTCAAAGCTTTTGTTTGTGTTTGTTTCCAGGCTTCCTCATATATTAGAAATGTGTATGAACACTGGGGTTTGTTGCTTAGAGTTTTACAGTAATGGTTTCCTTCAGTACTCTTAGTGGTTTTATGCTGAATGTAGCTAATGCACAGAAGAGTAAATATGCCCAAGTAAATAGGCATGGGCCAGCTCGGAAAAAAAGTCATAGTTCTAGAGCAAATGATTTCTATACACTGCCTTTTAAAGGTGTCCTTAAGTCACTTTTAATCCCACCTTGAATCCTTTGCATTAATTACTGGCAATATGGAATGTGCTATCTACGAAGAATGACTTTAAGGTAATATACTCAAGGGTGGGCTTTATAATTTGGAGTCTTCTTTCTGATTTATTTAACCTGTTAAACTGACAGCCAAGAGAGTTCGTAGTAGTCCCCTGAAAGTTGCCCTGGTTTCCTGCTTTTATTCTATCATTTTTCATGGAGATAATTTAGAGCTAGAAGACATCTCCTCACTTTGTCTGGAATATTGCTGTTGATGCAGAACGCTGTGGTTTTAAACAACCAGATGCTTTATTAAGATGCTTTTAAAAGAAGGAACTTTTATGTAGAGGCCGTTATAGCTAGAGTGAAGCTAGTTAGGTATCTCTAAGGAAAGCTCTTTTACTGTAAAGGTACAAAATTTTAATACAATAGTGTGGAGGGCTGTTTTATTGAGCCACCTACTTAAACGTTTTATCTTTGTAGATCAAACAGTGCTTGACAGTCGCACACTGTCAGTGTGCTTACAATGATACAATATTTGGTCGTTGAGTTTCAGCTGTTTGATGACTGTTCTTTCAATGGAAATCAGTTTCCTTGAACTAATCTGAAGAATAATGTGTTCACAAAATGTAGCTGGCCTTGAACGGAAGTGAGGTAGAAGCAAGACAGTGTGAAAAACTGGGAATTCAGATATTCTGTTTTCTGAGCCTCTAAGAACAGCTGGTTCTGGACATACACTGACTGTATCACTATTTGTGATCAGGATCTTTGAGATGCCTATTATGTGACTAGTTTTTGTTCAAACACTGATGAATGATGCAGATGTTGAATTTTGCGATTGAATTTTCATCCTGAGTAAGGAAGTGTAGTTGTACAGATCACTTAGGGTTTAAAGCATAAAATAGTAAAGTAAATAACACCCATTCATAATGATTCTTGGTATGGTATCCTAAGCATTGGTCTTGAGCTCATTCTGGAATAATGATTTGGTGCTCAGGAAATTCATCTTCATCAGCACACAGAACAAAATGTGTCTGAGACAGGTTTTACATGCACTAGCAATAGCTCATCTGAAAAAAAGGCTTTTAGACACTTTATTTAAAAATATTTCACTTTTGTATATCATATGATCAAGTATTAAAATAATTTAGTGCCTGAGACTGAGTGACAAAGTTGCTCAATTCTCTGTGGTGTTGTACTCACAAGGGTCCATTAGAGCTCTCTACTTGTGTTTGCTTAATAAGCTCTTCTCAGTAATTTGTATCAAATGATCAACTTTTTGCCTTTACTACCTAATGACTATGCGTGCAGGGTATCGTAAGGACCAGTAAAGCATATTTATCCCCATCAGAAGTATCACTAGTGTTTAATGGCATATACATACATTGTGTGTGATAAAGAAATCATTAATGCAGATAATGTTTGACTATTACGAATAAATTGTTATAGCAAAATTTCCCTTTTCAAAATGGCCATGACCAAATAAATACCAAGAACTATATTAAAATGTTGATTATTTTTTCAAAAAAAGGAGAAAAATATATTTGGAATATTGTTCTATTTCTTCATGCTGAAGACGGTGTTTTGTATTTAATGAATTGTAGGTGGATTTTTTTTTTTCTCCTTTTTTTGACTCTTTCCTTTTTTGTCTCCTTCCCCCTTCCTTCCCCCACCTTGCTTGCTTCTTTCCCTCAAAACTTTGGTCAGTGTACTACAGACAATGTGCTTGTGTGGAAATTAAACTGACAGCAAATGCCCTGGCTAAGCAAGCAAGAAGAAATGAGTACAAGAAAAACACAAAGAAAATGGCCTCAAGGGAAAGCTCTGCATAATGAACTTGAAACTGCTACTGCTGGATATACCCTTTCTGCCTCTCCTGCCAGAGCTGTCACCTCATGCAGCAATTTTAGTTTAAAGGAGACAGTGGAGCTTGTCTGCAGCATTGCTAAGGTCCGAGTTTGATGCTGCTAGATTTTCTATCCTCTGAAGATCACTGTGCTCTATGGTATATTGATGAGATTTTTAAAGAGGAAATAGGCCAGGAATAGCCCATAGTCTTGCCTTCTGCTAAAGAGAAAAGATAAAGGCGTAAAGGATGAAAAAAACCAAAGCATCTTGAAGCCATGTCTTTGAAAGAAATCTACTTCACTATTTAAAGTGAGAAACTTGTAATGGAAACCTGTGTGTGTGGAGGGGGGAATGTCACATAAGACTCAAAACTGTTTGTATGCCTCTTATAGGAGTCTCTGCAAAAATATTTTGGGTTAGATTGTCAGCTTCCTTTTCTGCCTCATAAGAAAGTATGAACAAGTTAATTCCAGAGGAAAAAGAAGAGCTGCAGACTGAGAGAGGGACATTTATCCTCTAAAAGGACAATCCCTTGTCATGTCATTTCTTGGAGGTGGTCTCACTGAAGTGTTGTTTAGCACTTGAGTTAGAGAGCAATGCAGTGAATGAAAAATGGAGATGAGAAATTGCAGTGCATAGTATTGCCAACATTTTAGCATGAAAATTCAGCAATCTTTCTAATGCAGTAACTGCTTTTTGACACTGCTCATCTATCTGTGCAGTTGCTGTAGTTACAGCATAACCCTGAGAAATGGTGGAGTGGTAATCGTGTATCCCACCGCATATCCTGGCCTCATTGAAATACTCCATGGAAGTTTGCATACCCTAACGTAAAAGCCAACAGGGAAGAACTGTGAATTTATACACAAAAATTTTTCACCTAATCCAAAGTAGAGATTATTAACGTAATATTCAGGATTTTATTGCTTTGTGTTTAAATGTATTAGCACACCCCCAGAAATCTTATCCTTGAAATGAATGTTTAATCCTAACCTGTGGACTGTTTTTTTGTTTTTGTTTCTTTTTATAGCAAGTTATGTCATCTATTAGAGGTAGTCCATAAAATAAACTTCATCAGTATTTTAGAGGTGCTGATCTAAAGTCATTCATTTATATAGGTGCTGGTTCCTGTAAACCATATGTGACACTAGAGAAAGTTTATGGAGTCAGTATAGTGGAAAATCAACAAGGTCAGAGCTGCTCTAGCTCTGATATTTTGAACAAGTGAGGTCTGACATTTCAAGTTGAAAAAGATCTCAGAATTTAGAACCAAATTAGGAGTATACTGGATAATGATTTTAGAAAGGACAGATTAACTGAGATTTCTAAATTAACTTGCAATGCTAAAATTAGAGATGATTTACCTGGATTTAGAAAGATGACTAATGTAGAAAAAATCTGAAATAATTTGGGAAGAGGGAATGAACACAAGGAATTACACAAGGAATGTGTAATCCTCATGCTCTCTGCAATAGACAAGCAAAGAGGACTACTTCTGTCTGCTTAGTAAATCTATTCCTAATACAAAACTGGCATAAAAATAAATCAGCTAGTAAGTTAAGCAGGAGCCGGGAGGTGAAACTAGATCTCACCCCTCCCAGACTGGATACCTGCCTGTTGTATGGGCTGACACATTGCAGAAAGGGAATGATTGCCATGGAGATGGTTGCGTGAACTTTTCCTGTGATTTATAGTTTGCATTACCTCTCTGCTTCATTTTATTTTCTCTACTTCCATAAAAAGAAAGGGTAATCTAAATGCTATTTATGAAGCATATATTATTACATATGGTACCTTTATATAGGGCAATTTGTATTGTTTCTGCTATTTACACTGCGAACACAGACAGATGGTGAATAAGGGCTGCCTTTACGGTTACAAAGCAAAATGGTAACATGGGCATTGCCTGTCACATTCTAGGCTGATGTCCATAGGACAGTCATTCTTGTTCCTTGCTGTAATGGTTATATACATTGCACTTACATCTAAAGACTGTGAAAATTGTTAAATTTGTGTTCTTTAGTATGCTTAAAAGCCTACACTCTGTGCATTACTAAATGCACAGAAAAATTATTTTTTCTTTTCCTTGTACTTCTCATATCCTAGTTCTATGTTGAAAGGGTTTGTTAGCCTTTGGGGAGGATGTTCTCTGCCTTTAACAACTCTTAAAATATCTATGAGCTAGGAATTTTAATATATGTTATTCTCCAGGAGATCTGTGCAGTGATCTAAGGTAGTATGGACCTGTTAGAATAAGCTAACACTTCTAGCAACTTCAGTTATTCTTCATAGTAAAGTACATTTCTGAACATGAACTTCTGTAGCTTTGGCCCAACGGTCTGTTTTCAGAGCTTTTGGATTTTGCCTTGGTATCCTTCATTCTTAGTTTTTGAGTATTAGACAAGCTTTTTGCCCTGAGATAATCCAAGAAGTGCACAAATAACCCTATTGCATTAAATGTCATTTGATGATTTGCCTGTGCTCTGCAAGGTGTAATGACAGTCCTTGTGCTAGAAGGAGTATAGAAATTCATGCCTCCTGGAATACACCAGGCATGTGAACCAGGGCCAAGAGCAGGAGGGTGGTTGCCATGTCTCTCTTCTACACTGAGCTGCCCGTGGTGCTGGAGAGAGGAAAGGGAAGTATTTGCTTGCTCAGGGAAACAGTCTCTCTTGGAATCCTAAGACTGAGAAGCAAAAATTTCCTTCTTTTTTTTTGAAGCATCAATAGGATGATTATTGAGATGATATGTTCTTGTACAGAAGGATGGAGGAAGGGAGAACAGCTTATCTTAGCTGCCTGTACATAAAAATACAGAATCTGTTTTTATTGCCAGCTTTCAGCGGGATTCTGTTAAAGGAGAGCGCAGAAGCAAAGCAGTGGCTGCCTGCTATGCACTCATGCTGCTGCTGAGGGTGCAGCACTAGATCTCCTGTACCAAATGTGTTTTGTTTAGCAGAGTTCTGCATTGTTCTGACCACTGCACCTGCATAGCTGCAATCAAAGTATTTTGGGTCTGGTAAGAGCTTGAATCCTGTTCCTTGCTTGTCCTCAAGCAACAGCTTTTCTTCATTCAGGTCTCCACTGGAGATGGGAAATTCAGCAAGGAAAAATTGTTACCAGCAGCAAGAACCCACATAATTGATGATGAAGATGAGGTGGTTAAAGAGAAGATCTGCTGTCCTAACAAATTGAAACAAATAGTTCTCCCATTTGCTAACTCCAGTTTCACTACCATCCAAAAGGAATCTGCAAATGATCAGCATACTCGCACGCTCCACTTGAAGCTGCAGAGCTCAGTTTGCAGGGACGTATTCTGTTTGTATTCCCGGAGGGGTTAAGCACTGTATCCCATACATGCTTCCCTTGTGCTATCTGCTCTATCTTACAGTTTGGACATTTGCAATAATTTTACTTAAATCTCTTAGGTTTGGCAACAAAACAGTTAAAAGCAGAATCTGACTATGTTCAAATTGCCTAGTCCTAGACATTTTGTTATGCCAAAGGAAGGAGTTACTATGACTCACAGTAAAAATCTTAAAGTGTTTCAGCTCTCACCTTTATGAATCATATTGGAGACTGTTGTGTGTGATTTTTTTTTTCCTTTTTTCTGTCACGAGAACTGTAGGAGTCATTGCACTGAGTTCTCCTTATCATTCTCATGAATTTGATGAATTTGCATTCAAGTTTGTGTTACATTTTATATGTGTACTGATCATTTGTTAATTATAGATGAAGGAGTTGTGCTTCACGATGCCAGAAATTTGCTTTACATCAAAGTAGAAAGAGAAGAGACTTGTTAGCTCAGGTACTGAAATGTCTGTTTCACCTAGGAGAGCCGCTAGGGCCTGGTCCAAAGCTAGTTTAAAGTCGCAGGTGATCACTTCTGTGACAAACAGAATTTTCCTCATTACACGCTTGCCACCTCTGAGGCATTTTTGTTATTTGTTTCATATTACTTATGGAAAGCCCTTTCTTCTGCGTGTGTCACAGTTTAGCTCAAAGTGTAGATATGAGAATAATGAAGTTGTTCAGTGCATTCTTCCTGGTGACAAAGAAAGTTTATTTATGCTCTAAAGTTGCCTTTAAGTGGATTTTTACAAACAGTGTACATACAGTTGTTCAGATTTATTGTGCTTTATGAAAAGGTTTATAATATCCTGTTAGGACTGAAATCTAGAAGAACTTAGGCAACAAATCAGACTTGACAGGATTTTTTATTGCATTAGAATATAATATTAAGACTAATTTGCTGATATTCTTTCCTGTATGATGTGCCTGTGAGTAAGTATTGCTACTCTTCAAATAGGAGAACGGAAGAACCTTGCCATCAGTCCCACAAGGATTCAAAGTTTGGCCCTTCTGCTCTGCTCTTTCTGATTTTACCTATTATACTTGCAGTAAAGTTGCAGGTTTAGATAGGTTCACACTTAATTTGTCCTTGGCTATTAAAGATCAATGCCATAATTGTCACAAGTAAATTAAGGACAGCATTTAGCCATACAGAAAAATACACACCTCTTTTACATTCAAAATCTATAATTATTTTATTTTTGTATTTTTGGATGTTTTCATTTTTCAGTAACTGAAAACAGCACATCTATAAAAATGAAACCTATATTTATTTTGGTGTAATTAAAGCCATCTTTAATGTCAAAATATCAGAAGTGACATTTTGCTCAAGCATGAGAAACAAAGCTAAAACCAGAGTTGATAAACTTGGGTGACAATATTTGAATCAAACCCTGTTAAGTATCTACCAGCAAACCAATCCTTTGATATGAGCAGGAGCTCTGCTGAAAATACTTCCTCTGTGCCCCTAAATTTCGAGCCCATCCCTGCCAGTTGTTGAATGTCTGTGGAAAGCCACGTGGGAGCTGAAAGATGTTCAGCACCTTGCAGGTCTGGGCCTATAATTTTGGGGCTTTGGTCCCCATCCTGTGTATTATGTAATTTGTTGTTCTTGAGCAATAAATTGCATACTTCTCCCCTCATCCTGAAAACTATGTTATTTTATAATTATTGCAGGTCTCAGATATAGAAATTTGTTCTTTTAATGCAAACAATATAGAAACAAATGTCAAAACATATTTCCTTCATAAGAAGATTAAAATACAGGTCTTGGTTCACTTTTGATGGCTTTTGTGTTAGTTTCATCTCCTTAAGACAAGATATATTTTACTTAGAGTAATCTGATGACCCATTTCTTTCTTGTTTTCTTTCCATAAGATTATCGTTGGAGAAACTGCAGTGTTTTGTCTACAGCTGGCTACAAAGGACTTTGAAAACCAAGAAAAAACAATATTAACTGGAGACTGTTGTTATATAAATCCACTAGTTCGCAGAACCATCAGATTTCTTGGTATGAGAAAGTTAATGCTTCCATTTTTTTGTACAATATGAGTGGCCAATTCTGTGTAAGTTAAGTTTCAGATGACTATACAGCATTTCATGTGTACTCCTTACTCAGATGCCATGATTTCTTTCCTTTTGGCTAGCAAATTAAGCTTCTGGGAAGTTTGGATAAAAAAATAAGTTGCAGAAACAGCTGTAACATTTCCCCACAAAGGGGAATCCTGGTCAGCAGATCTGGAGTGGGATGAAATGGAGAAGGTGATTATCTTTATGCCATGTCTGTAGTCAATATAGTTTTGTCAACAGACAATACTCAGCTACTAGCCAGAGTTGAAGACATTGGAACTTAATTGCATGTTTGAAGCCAAGTCCCTTTTAAGCACTTTTGTAACCTAGAACTTGTGTTGTGGTCCATAGTAGGAAGCTGTATCTTTGCTCCACTGAGGTCAGCTGTGAATTCCCCATTGACTTTAGTAGATCTCAGATGTCTTCCTTAGATGTAGTTGGTTATAAATACATTTTGGAGGAGAAGTACCATCAAAGTCTATTGAATTATTCTCAGATGCTGCTTGTAGTGATGCTATAGCAGGGCTCAATTTGTCTGCAGTTTGCTTCTCTCTCATGGCTGTATCTAAGAGAAACAGCTGGAGGAACAAAACCTTGGGGCAGGTAATGTTCCTGAGTGCCTCTGAGCAGGGGAGAGGGAGGGGATGTACAGCTGTGCCTCTGTTTGCAGCCTCAGTATTTGTGCGACAGCTGCGCTCACCTTCCAAGGGCGTGATTGCAGCTGGATTGTGAATTTATGGTCACCATTACATGGGAGTGCTGAAAGTCACTAGAAGTGAGAGTGTGCCTTGCAGGGACCGCATGGAGATGGGGAGTGATGCTGAGGAGCATTTACTTCCCGCTTGATGAAACCCTCCTTGCTCACAGAAGCAAAAACAAACTGGGAAGGAGGGAAGGGCCGAGCAGCAGCCTCCACAGCAGCGCCTCAGGTGAGGCATCGCAGTGCATTACGCTCACAGAGGCTGATGTGGCTGCCCATTGCGGGGCAGTGCACAGCCCCAGGGCTTGCTGAGGGGCCCTCCTGTGCAGGGACTTGGCTTGGTACAGTCCGTTGCTCACTAGTGTCCAGCAGATCAAGACGAATTAACATTAGGGTGACTTTGCTGACCAGCTAGAATCTCAGAAATTTCTCTGGGTCATCCAGCATTCCCGAGGGGAAAAAAATGGGGGTGGGTCTGTGGCAGTGCCTTATGCAGTGGCCTGTGTCCCTGAATATCATCATCCTCATGGTGTCCCATGAGGTTGGGAGCTGTCAGAACGCACCAAAGTATGGGAAGAGTAAAGTGTGGGCAGAACCACACAGAAGTATGGGAAGAGTAAAGTGATTTGCCTGTGGAAATACTTGGCATCTGCAGCCCAGCTGGAATTTGAGCACACCTCTGCTGGCTTAGTCTGCCAGTCAGGGGCTGTGTTTGCATTTCCTTTCAGTGTTGGCTTTCCACTCCCCAAAGGATAGAAAGATACCTCAGAATAATAGAATGACTGTTTTCCTGTAAGTAAACAGATACATGTCTTTCCTTTGTAATGAGTGACTACACATGCCTAATGATTTGCTGATATGTCTGTCTTTTTTTTTTTTTTTTTAAAGTTCCCAGTCTTTAAATATAGAGATCTTTACTTCCCTCTGTTTATTTCAGGGTAAATATGCCAGACATAGAGATGTGCCTAGTGGTAGGCAAATGAAGACAACTCGTGCATGGCTATATTAAATTATTCAGCACTTCAGCTTCTTACAGCTGAGAGGAAAAAGAAAACATTTGTCCACTATATGTAATAGCTTTCCAAGCTATCTATCAAGGCCTGACTTCTCTGGTTCTTAAGCAGATTTGTGGGGTGAAGAATCTGCCTCTATCATTTCTCTGGTGAAAATGGGCATAGGTTTGGTTCCACTTTGGGGACTTGCCCTAAAAACTTGGAGGCCCTAGGAAAGTGAGAATGTGAGCAGAAGTGAGAATGCTCCTCCTAAAGCTGGAGGGACATCAGCTCTGGGCATGCCGCAGTGTTGTGCAGGGATTGCCTAGGAATGTACCATCTGCTACCTGAGCTAGAATCCTTAGGGTGCCCTAATGTTTATCTTCTTAAATGGATGGAGCTGTTTTATTACTATGATAAATACTGCAATACCATCATCTTCATCATAAAGTGAAGTTGTCAGGAAGTTTAACACTTTGTTTCTTTTTCTAGGAATTTATGCGTTTGGACTATTTGCTACAGACATCTTTGTAAATGCTGGACAAGTAGTAACAGGGAATCTTGCACCACATTTTCTTGCACTTTGTAAACCCAACTATACAGCACTTGGATGTAAACAGTACACGCAGTTCATCAGTAGCGTCCATGCCTGCACTGGAAACCCAGATCTTATCCTGAAAGCCAGAAAGACATTCCCATCCAAAGAAGCAGCTCTAAGCGTATATGCAGCTATGTATCTGGCTGTAAGTATACTGTACTGTTTACCATCACTCTATTTTTGAGTACACATTGCTCAGAATATGAGGGGAGGAAGGATTGCGGGGATAAGACAACTGTTAATTGCTTGTATCCGTGTAAGTCTTTGATGGGTTATTGTAAGGTTATTGTGTGAATCTTTGATGGGTTATTGTAAGGCCTTTATGAATTTGATTCATTGTGTTCTATTATTCTACCAATTACAGATGCAGTAGTCTTCTGAATCTCAAAAGCCAAGGAGGCTTTTAGGGCAATGTTGAGAGAACATAACTTTTCCAAAATGGCTTGCAGATTTAGTACCCGTTGCTTTTGGTTTGCTTTTTCCTCATTTTCAGATTATGCAAGGGGAATCTGTGCTGGGTGGTAGGGAGAAAGGACACGGATCCTCCTTGATAGCAGGCAGTTCCTTTCAGTGTTTTAGCACAGTACAGGTTAGTAGAAATGGCTGCATTCTTTGGTGGGTGAAGCAGAATAGAGGGTGTTATGTAGCTATTTGACCTCCCCATGTTTCCTGAGCACCTATACATATCAGAGTACATATATGTACCAGAGTATCTGGTACATATATACTTACCAGAGCTGCTATCTATAGGGTATCAGTCCACATGCAAAGTCAGCTTGATGCTCATTTTGCAAGGAAGTGGGCAGCCCAACCCTTCCTCCATTTCCTCTGATACAAGAAGCAGTGAGAAAGGCTGGGATCAAGACTGCCATTACGTGACTGCCTCAGATGTGTTCCCAAGGCCTTTGGGAAGTGCAGGGAGGCAGGTGGCAGGGGAGCAGTCACTCAGGTAACATCCTGCCTTAGTTTGGAGCGCATGTCTTTCTGTTCTTATGCAGCAACATGTTTTGCTCTTAGCCAAGTTATTCCCAGGGTCACCCCTATAGGAATCCCCTACATAATTTAGGTTTGTAATCCTAGTTTGTTAGAGACCACTGGTTGGGGCCAAGGCTCCCGTATAGCATCTATGAGAAACGAGGCAAACGTGTTCTTCTGTGGCCATCCGTTAGATCGTCTCAGTGTTTGAGTAGTGGCCTTCAAATAAAAATATATTCGTATGCATGCAAATGTGTGTATGCATATGTGACATATATGTGATACATATATATGTATGTATATGTGTGTGCTTGTGTGTGTGTTGCTTTGAACATATATATTTAATAAACAGAGATTTAGTTCTTTAATTCTTTACCGGTATGGCAAAGATCCCAAGCCCATCCACCAATGTGTCAGTTCCAGTGTGCCAGCTCCATGCCTCTACATAAGATTTTAGTGCCAGATATTTTAATTCGACAGCACTGACTAATATTTGCCAAAAGGTCCTTTGAGCAATGTCTATTTAAGACTTGTGGATCATCAATTAGTACAGAAAAGTGTCATCTGCAAATAAGAGATGAGCAATAAGATTCTATACTAACTTTAGGCAAGTGTAAAATTCTTGATAGTACTGCCTTCATTTGGGGAAATATCTAAGGCTTTGCTTCACTGAAACATGCCTCTAAATTTGGCCCAAACTATTTTAGAAAATATTCAGCTTTCTTCATTTTAGTTGCTCCTATTTTTCTCATCCATCTGTAAAGTTGGATTTTCACTCTTAGCATGAGTCACAGTAACTAAAGGAAATAAACTGTTCAGGCACTGCAGAGCAGGATGGGAGATTGAACTAACACACTTTTAAAACAACAACAAAAAAAAAGTAGATGCTATGAAATGTTATAATCGGTGATATTAGTGGCTATGAATGGCTTTTGTCATGCTTAAGAGTGCTGTAAGCAAATCATTTGTACTGATTTTACAGTTAGTAACATCAAAGATGAAAACTGGTGCAGTCTGTTTCACAACTTTGTGGTCTTTTACTGCAGCATTGCATGAGAGCAGGATCACCTAAAGCACTGTAGGCTGCCAACAGGATTCTGAACTTTTTGTAGAGGCTGAGTGATATAAAAATGAATTGCTGTGATGTATCAGTTTAGATTCTAGCCTGCAAATTTACATTCTTGGCGCAATTGGCAGAGTCTCTTTTAAAAATCCTGTTGTGTTGTTGAAGCTAAAAATACTGTTTACTACCCATCGGGGAAGAAAATGCTTCCAATATGTGTTCCAATATTTGGGGTCATGTCCTTACACTGTTATGGTAATTATGAGGAAACTTGACCCCAAATAACAATTTTCTCATGGTTATTCACTGGAGTAGATGATTTAAACAGTAGCCTAGTCTTGTGTGAGCCATGGTACCAAGGTTATTGAGAGTGAGGACATAATGAGCTCCATGTATTGCTCTGCTAATATGAGCTATATCGTATTTGAACTGTGGCCTTCAGTGGGTGAGTTCATGAGCGTATCATCTCTGATACAAAATGTGCTTTCTTTTTGTTAAACAGAAATATTTGGGAGAGAGGGGGATTGGGGCAGAATCTGGCCGGGACATTTCAGCTGGTTGTGCACCAAATGCACCCAGCTTCAAGACGTAACCAGGTGAGAAGTTCGTTCAGAATCCTTGCTCAGTGGGCGGCGAGGTAAATACTGGTGTGGTGGTTCCCGTGTGCCCCTTTAAAAGCCGAAGCCCCACTTTCTCCAACAGCTTCCCAGCTCACTCCGCTCGGTGCAGCTGGGCCCCAGGCCCTAGCACTTGTGCACATCGCCTTGCTAACAATAGCTGCTTTTTTTTTGGCTAAGTTCTTTAGTCTTCCTGCACTTTTTTTCCTCCCCTTCTCTTGTGAGTGGGTGGCTGCTATGGTAACTATGAACTCCCTTCCTCCTGAAAGCACAATCTTTTTCTAGCAATTGTATTGCTAATGTTTGGACCTCTCTGTAGTTATTTGCTTCCAATTCTTCCTTTCAGTATCTATCAAGAAAAACTTAGCAACTGAAATGCTGATTGACAGCCCTGTTTTTTGACATTTGCTCTACCCTGCTCCATACATGGACTGTTGCAAGGGTTACTCATACTCTGAAGACTTGAAGTCTTTTTATTTATTTATTTATTTATTTGTAGTGTACCAGAATCCTCAAAATTAACTGCTTTTCCAAAATCTCTGCTGCTACCTGGATTTCCTCTCAGCTTTCTGATAAACTATTATATCTTTCTTTGCCAGAATTGGGATAATGAGCTGACTGTATCCTCATTTGTTTAGTAGCAGTCTTGCAAGTTGCTTAATCCTTTCTCATCTGGAGCAGCACCTCCAGAGAGCTATTTAAGGAAAAAAATCTAAATTTATTAAATAAAATACAATTGTATCAGCAGCATTTTGGTATGCCTAAGTTGATACCTGAACACTTATAGGTATATTTTGAAGTAGTCAATTATGCACAGACTCTCCCCGACAGTTGAGACATAGGAGTGAGAAGTCATGAGTCTTCCTTTTTTTTTTTTTTTCTCTGTAGGATTACAAAGTGATGAAGACTTACTAAGTCTGTCCCCCCTGGACAGACAGCCCCCAAGGCTTCTCCCTGAAGCCTTGTGGTTAACGGTTGTCCTTTGGTGCTGCAAACTCAGGGAACTGATTATTGCTAGATGTAGATTAAGGACAAATTTTACAAATTTTACTTTATTTTTGTTTTATTCTTATTGCATTGGACAAAAGCAGTGGACACCTTACCTTAGGATAAGATAATATTTGAATATAGTATTGCAAGGAAGATACCTTTCAAATTTGCTTTGAATTTGTAACGACAGAAGAGCAAATCTGTATCTTGATGATTGACCTTAGTGCTTGGGTCTGCAGGCTGCTTCTGTTGCCTTTTACTGTAGACTCTCGGCCACAAGTGTGGCCTGGGACAGGGCTAGCGGATAAAGCTGACAGCCCTTTCCTCTCTGCAGAGTTTGTGTTGAGCCTTTGATCCTCTGGTCTATCGGGTTCGTTCCTAGGGCATTCTGTAATGTCATCCTGGCTGCTTAGTGTGTTTATTGGTCACCAGGAAGAGACAGGAAAGGGGGTCTGTCACAGTGCCATCCATGTGATGATGACACTCTGCTCAATGTCATGCTTTGATCTGGTCTTTAGGTGTAGGTCTTATCTCTGAAGATCTCCACTTTCCTGAAGTGCTTGTTTGGATTCTGCCAAAGGGCTAGCTGGCTTAAACTCAGTGGAGGCAGAGTCAGCTTATGTTTGACAAATCACAGAGCCTGTTCAGGAGAAGCAGTGGTAGCAGAATCATCTTACTGAGTGAGTTTTGTTGTCCAGTTTTTGGTAATAACTTGAACAAGAAGAGAATTATTCTAACTGCTCTTAGGGGGCAGCGTTAGCAAAGTAGGATTTCTTTTCAGCATCTGGCACAGCAAGTAAAAGTCACCTTTGCTGATCTTACAGTATGTATCATGTTCTTACTTCCAAACTGGACAATAGACAAACAAATTGAAATAATTTGATCCAGGGATTTATTTGAAGACCTCTGGAGATTTCTTGTCAGACACTTTTTCATTACAGCTTAGTTGCTGAAAACAGAGAGACCTCTATAGTGTGAATCAGCTTGATTTAGTATTTTGGTGTGTCTAGTGGTCCAAGTACATTGGAGGAATCATAGGGCTGTTTAAAGTTGCAACTGCCAGGAGCTCACAGCAGGACACTTACTAGAAGTTGGACTGGAAAGGTCCAACATTTCTAGAGCTTTCTTTTCTTTGGGCAACCTAGGCCCCTGCTTCTAAAGGCCAATTTTGCCTAGGATCATTGGTAATTACTGCAAAGCTTCTGAAGAACAGTAGGGGAAGTTTCACAGGAACAGAAATGGTTTCAGTGAGTGGCCTTGTTTACAGTGACACCCAGAAGATTGAAGAATATGCCTGTGGGCTAGTACTAGTAATAATTTATCTCCCAAAGTATTAACCAGGTGAGTTGAAGTTTTAAGTTCCCCCAGAAAAAAACGGGATTTTAAATAAACATGAACATAGGTATAGACTAAGGTCCGCTGCAGGAATGTTGTACATTCCTCAAGTGGAACATATATAGCTGCCTTTACTTTTATAACAAAAGAAAATGTGAGATAATTTACACTTGGAGCACTGCCAGGGATGGATTCCTGTACACTGCTTCCCTCCCCTATTTACTTATTACTCCTTGATGCTGTACACAAAAGAACTTACACTGCCTGTGTCAGTCTTCCCTGACCACCTGCTTGGGAAGCACTGAAAAAGGCAAATAAAGGGCCTCTTCCCCGCTGCATCTCTCACCCACAGGCTGAAGAAATCAGCTAGGAAAAGTAACGCGACTCCTGCCTAGTGTGTCCAGCCTGCAGCTAACTCCGCTCTAACCAACATGGCGCTCTGGGACCCGTAATGTGTTTGTTCGGGTGGGTGCCTACATGCTTGTATGGGTGGCTCTAAAGACAGCTGGAAGGAGAAGATAAGGAGGAGCTCCCAGTATAGTCTGGAAGGTCATTTTGTCCTGTACTTGACAATTTCTTTTTTTGCCTTACATGTTTTGGAATCATTTTGTTTGGTCTAGACTTAGGACGTACTTCACATGAGTCAGACTTGCAACATGGCTTTTTTTTTTTTTCTCCTGAAAGCTTTCCAATTATAATCTTAGTGACAACATTATGATTATTCTTTGTATTATGATGTGAGACAGTCATGGCAGAAACCTTGTAGCTTGCTTTCTCTGTGATGAAGATGATGGTGATGGCAGTTATTTAGACTCCTTGCGGTAGTAGCATTGAATTATTGTATCATTACATAATTCTTAAAATGTAGAAATGTAGTTTCAGACTTTTAAAAAACATTATTCAGCATAATTTGAGCACAGAAAGGCTGTAAAAATTTCCAGAATCACAGAATGGTTAAGGTTGAAAGGGACCTCTAGATATCATCTAGTCCAACCCCTCCTGCTCAAGCAGGGACACCTAGAGATGTGGCACAGGGTTGCATCCATTTACATGGAGTAGGTCATATTTACAGGAGTAGGTTTTCTATCACACAGAATTTTTCACCTGTGCTATTCTCATAAGAGAAGATAAGTGAATATAATTACCAAGAAACATTTCTGAAGTATTGCCCAAAGTAAGTACTCAGGGCAAAAATACTCATTAGGATAGAAAGTTGATTAAAGCTTTTACCCTTTGATGTGCATACATTAAAGTTTTTTTTTTTTAATCAAAATTCTTTCCATAATTTAGCCACAGAAATTTCATGTGAAAATAAAATTTTAGCAAAAGGAAGAGCAATAGCAAGAGATATTCAAAAGACGTTTTACCATGGATCTGGTAAAGTTAATTCAAATTATTGTGTCAGTCCTTGACCTTGCATCTAGACTGTTACAGTTGTCGGTCTTGTTAATTAAAATAGTTAGAAACAAGATTTTGTTAATTAGATTTCACCTGAATTTTTGTTCTTGAAATAAACTGGGATAGAATTATGCTGTAAACATCTATAACCATATACAAATTTGTGTAGTCATTCATTCTCACTAACGTTTTGAACCACTGTGTTTTTTTCCTTTGTTGATATTGCATTTAATATTTATGAAAAGTGAAGAAAAATCCTGACATCTTTCAAGATGTTTATATTCTTTGCCATTTACTGAATATTCTGCTTTGTAGCGTTTTGCTTCAGGATCAAGAATAAAACAACCACATAATTCTATTTTATTGCTAATGCAAATTTGATCTTTGACTAAGTTGACTTTGTGCATGTACTATACTAAAACTGCAAGAGGTCAAGATTAAAAGTGAGTCGCTATGAATCCTGGCTTGCCCTGCAAATGTGTAGACTTTTCACTACCCTGTCTCAGGAAGTTTGCCTTGTTTCTCTTGATGCTTTATTTGAATACTGTCCTTAACATCAATTGCGGCTATTCTTTAAAGAAAAGGTAAGAGGTGCCCATGCTGGCATAGGTACCTCTCTGCCTGTTACGCAGGGTATTCTGAGTATCAGCCTGCAGTGCTACAGGGAGGAACGTGGGAGCCGGAGGTCTCATTACTCGAGTGAGACATGCCAGGGTTCTGCGGTCCATTCCGGCTCTGGACTTTTGCCTGAGTAAGGATTTGAAGGACATGCTTGATAGTATAAAGAGTTTCCGAGATTTTTCTGCAGAACACTCTTCACTTTGTATTGAAAAATCTTGATATTCACCTGAAGTACTGCAGAATCAAGTCCAAAGCTGGAAATGAAAGTTGTGGTTGTCTTCTTGGCATACCACATGATAAAAGCAGCTCAGTGAAGAAAGTTCTCACAAAAATATGAGGAGCTACATAAAAAGGCTGTAAGGGAAAGGGAAGTAATTGTTCCTTAAATGTCCTAGGAAGGAGAGAGGAGAAATGTGGCCTGAACCTGTTTCCCCAATAGGTTATTCTTCCTCCATTGGTTGAAAACATGCTATTTTTTGGCTCTTGATCATATAAGGTACACTTAAAAATATATGTTGTATAAAATCTCTGCTGTGATTTTAAGTTTCCTGGTTTTGTTGCAACTTCTTCCTCCCTAATATGGAACTTTTCTCTAGTATTTTCAACAGACGGGTGTCATTCTGGCAAGCTTTGATGGTTAGTTCCTTAATTTAACTTACTGTAATTGTAACCAGTCCATTTGTTGGTCAAAGGAGGAGGTACCAGTTATTCAGGGCACGGATCCATCTGTTTCCCTTCACAATTCCAAGTGCTGTCACTGTACCCTGCTAGTGAAACTGCTTAGATGGTATTTGAATTCTTCAGTGTCAAAACTTCAGCTTTATATGAAGGGTTTAGGGATTTCAATGGTTTAGTCGCTGAAACAACATCTTCTGCAGGAAGTTTTTTTGTTTGTTTGTTTGTTTTTTGTTTTTGTTGTTGTTGTTTTAAGAAAAAAGATCTTAGTTGAAGTATAGTATTACAGTAGGAAATTTTAAAGCAGTCTTATGCCAAGATTGAAAAGTTCACTGGAGAGTGGAAATTCAAAACCTGCAGCTTAGGAATTCATTTCTCTAGTTAACCCATCAGAGCTTGGAAAGTGCTAGCGTTGGCCAGGATTGCTGCTCTGTCACCAGATAGTGTTTTTAATTCAGTATTTTTTGACATGGACAGTTCGACTGCAAGCTGGGCAGAGATAAAAGCATAAAAGTTTGTGCATTTAGATTGCTCTGTGTGCTGTGGAGGCTGGGTATGAAATGTCATCAGCATCTGTGAAGCAGTGATGCATTGGTCCAGCACTAGCTGAAGCTATTTCATTTTATTTACTGCCATTTCATTCAATTTTCACTGCTTTTTGACAAATCTCTGCTTACAATCATCTTATTCCATGAAGAAAGGCATTTGCTGATGAAAACAAGCTTTTGATCTATCCTCTGTGAGGTCAAGATCTTTTCCATTATTGTTGACACTAGCAGTGAAAAAAGTCTCTTTCTTTAGTCTCTGTATAAATAATTGCATATGTTGAGAGCAATAAAACAGGATTGTCTAATTTGCCTGTTCTTTGGAGGGAGGGGTTAGGTTTATGTAGGACTTGAAGTTCCTGTAGGGTCTACATATATAGAATTTCAATATCTCTAGGTAAAGGCTGTGAAGACCTTATCTAGAGTTTGGCGTTCTTATCTCTTCACTGTCCCTCCCCTCACTCCTCCTCCCCTTATCCCCCTCCCCCCCCCAAAAAAAAAAAAAAAAAAAGAAAAGAAAAAATACCCAAATAGTCATAATCTATTCTAAAAAAAGTTGCAGAGATTTTATTCAGCAATTAGTGGTGATATTATCAATTAGGGTGTTATACTTTCTTCTTTTCTAATTTTCAGATGTATATCACCAGCACTGTAAAAGCCAGAGGAACGAGGCTTGCAAAACCTGTTCTGTGTTTGAGCTTAATGTGCTTGGCTTTCCTTACTGGAATCAACAGAGTAGCAGAATATCGAAATCACTGGTCAGATGTGATAGCAGGTTTTCTAATTGGAATATCTATAGCCGTGTTTTTGGTAAGTGTATATTGTTTCACTTGTTCAGGGAGGGGAAAAAAACTATATAAGTTTGTGTCTTGTAGCAAGTGTTGGTAGACTAGACTTTTCAGGCAATTAGATATGGAAGAGGTGTTTCTATTCTTTAATTAAAATACCCCTTTCCTTAGGTATATTTTCATAGACTCAGAAGTGTCAGATGAAGAAGTGATTGATACACTTAACTTTTTAAATTTATAGTCCTGACTGTAGAATTTAACCATATGCTGTACTATACTATATGCAAGTGCATATTTCTCAGAATAGCATCTAGTCTAAGTCTTGTTTATGAAGTATTAAATTTGTTATAATAATGCCTACATTGATCAGAGAATAAGTAACATCTCTTTTTTGGTTTTAGAATAGCCCTTGTGATTTTTTTTAAATGTTCATTTAGACTTAAATTGATTTTTTTTATTCTAAAGTAAAAGATCTTTAAAGATCCTTATTTTGCCTTTTCTGAAACTGATACCAGATCTTTAGTCAGTTCACATTGACGAGTGTCTGTGTCAGCAAGCTGCCACTTAGCTATTAATCACCTTTGCTGATTAACTTCAGTAACTTCAGTACAAAAACATAACATAGAAAAGTCACAGCTGTTACTACTTGCAAGTTTGTCTGCCTGGCACGTAGTATGAGTAATAAGTATACTTTTAAATTCTTTTCCTCATAAAAACGTTTTTGAGCTTGATTCCTAGATCACATTGAACTTTGCTGAGAACTCGCACAGGTTTGTCAGAGATGAGTGTTTTCACCTTTCTGATAAATGTGTGGGCAGCTTTAGATCTCCCTAATATATACCCTGTTGGCACTTCCAAACATTCCTAATCATTATTAAAAGTTTTGTCATTCTGTTTGTGCCTCCTGAGGTATAAAAGGGAATAGAACAGAAGTTTGTTTCCATATTTCTTTATATTTTATACTGTATGCTCCATAATCTTCAAGCATCACAGCATCAAATTTAGTTATGTTTTGAATAAAATACAATTGGCAAACTTTGCTGCTCAGGTGAACATCTGAATCGGCATAAAACACTAACAAACTGGCATTGATCAGCTATTTCCTGGGAAAAGTGACTATTACATGAATAGCATCATTAAACTCACTGATTGATTGCAGAAATATTTCCATTTGAACAGGTATTTGAACAGGTAAGGAAGCAATCTTAAATCACACTGATGATAATGATCTGTTTAGGAAAGCTTGCACTTGACATAAGCTTTAGATGTAGCATTTAGATTGTTCTGTCCCATCATAGGAATTTAAGGTTATTGTCATATTTTTCTGCACATGCTGGGGACATCTGGTCTTTATCTGTTATGTTGTTGATAATTGGTATTGTATTACTTAGCTTCAGATCTGCTTTAGACAAGAGGTTTTTTTTTTTGTACAAGGATGTTGTATGTAACATGCAATAAATTCCTGGAAATTCTTTTGTCTTGAAATCTTAATTAAGGCTTTTTTCTGTATAGTGTTAACTTTATTTGTCTGCATTTCTATTGTAAACTGTGCCCAAAGCTCACATCAATTCTGCCTGGTTATGGATGTCAAGATCAAAACTGAAAAAGGGAGTTGTTCCTTAATTATTTTATTCATCCCTTTTAGGTTGTTTGTGTGGTAAATAACTTCAGAGGACGTCAACCAGAGCATGAACATTCTCATATGGATAATCTGGCCAAGATGCCAATGATCAGCATCCCCAGAGTAGAAAGCCCTTTAGAAAAGGTAAAGTCTATTTCTTTTTCTTTAAACTGAAATAAAAGGTAGCTTTTTTGGACAGCTGATTTTAAACTACCTTGACAAGAGTTCCAAGGTCATAAGATGTAAGTGAAATTCAGAAAGACTCTTGATAGGAGACTCTTCTTGTCACTTCCAAAACAAGTTCTTGAGAACAGTCTAGTATCCTGCTATGGCTGCTTCTTAAAACAACCAGAGCTGAGTCTGTGGAACTGAGCTGGGTAGGTCTGAGGCCCTGTTTCCTTGTATTCCTCCAGTAAGTGTGGCTAACATGTTGGCTTAGAGTACATTGATCTTAGAAGGATGAAATTTAACCCTGAGCCCAGAGACTCATGTGGGTTATGCAGTATATTTACTTGCGTTCGTGTCATTTACCCTATTTTGGGGTGACTTGACACTAGCGTGCAGGACGGACTACAGCTACCTGTGGATCAGCTGTGGGCCTTTAATCATCAGGCACCTTTACAGCCTCAGTACTGTGTGATTCCCCCCACAAAAAGGGGCTAGTAATGTTGTTATAGTGGGGCCTGCACCATCAGGCTGAATGATTCAATAAATTGATAATAATTAATAAAAAATGCCTTACATCAACTGCGCAAAAGCTACGATGACTGACCAAAGCAAATGTGCTTTTGGATTAGAAAATACTATAACTAGTCTACTGGTTATATCAAGATGTTTTACATGAGTATGTACTGAAACGTGTTTAAAGTTCATTATAGTTTCCTGTGATAAAAAGTTCTGGTTTTGCAAAGATGATGATGTGCTATGTCAATGTTAGATAAGGTTGTGTCAGAACAATTCTGTGAGCAAACAAACACTGAAATAAATAGCATAACCAAATAACAATAATATTTTAGATATTTTTCACCTGGAAGAAAGTTTGAGCTATTAATGCAAATGTTAAAATTCTGAGTTTTTTTTCTGATTAGTTTATCTGTAATTATTTGTAAAATCTCTTCTATTATGCCAATGTTTGAAGATAATAAACAACTCTACATGATGCAGGGCACCAAAACTATGTTTTAGAGCATTCTTTTTAATCCAAATTACTTCTACTTTTGTTAAACATAAGAAGAAATGTTTTAGCCACTTCCCAGTATGCGTTCATCTCTCAAAATTGGTGGAAGTTGTTTATTTCTTTGGAAAGGAAAGGCACATTTTTTTTCCAAATGATCTAACAAGCCTTTTTGAACCAAATGTGTCTAAGCTACTCCTGATGTTTTTCAGTGAGGAGGTCACAGTCTCATTTTCTTGAACAAATTACTAGATGGTAAATGTACATCTTTAAAATAATCCATTCAGTGAACTCTGTCAAATGTCAAAACAAAGCAAGATGTCAGTGGGCCTAGAACATGCCATATCAATAAGAAACCCTCTTAATTATGTGCCTGGCTCATTTGTGCAGTCATCATAGGTCATAAAAGTAAATTCTCTGCAATCTCTGTTTATCTGAGTTCCAGTTTGGCTGCAGCTGTATTTCATTTCTTGAGGGAATAAAGACTTCATCTTATCTTGGTGGTTGTACCTGCTTTGAGACCCTCTAGTGCATGAGGAACAATGGGATCGTTTTGAGACTTGTTCTAGGCAAGGCTGAGATGACACTGCGAGAGCTATGGGGTGATGTGGGGAATGACTGCAAGAGTATTATGTGCTGCTTGAGGATGTCCTCTACCTTGTGAGCTGTCCAGAGCTTGTGTATGAAAGACCTTCCTTCCCTCTGAACTCACATTCGCACTGTAATGGAGAGTAGCTCTTTGCTGTTTTGAGATATCTCCCATCTGCCAGCAAATGATCTCAGCTTATGGATTCATCTTTCTGTCTGTTGCAAAGCCTTTCTTCTGTCCAGACAGGCAGGATGTGATGGGAGGATGATTATGGAGAGAAATAGTTATTCTTTGGAAAAGGCTTTCTTCCATTTCCATCTCCTAGAAAATCTGAATTGGGATTAGCAAATAATTATACTGGAGTGCTTTACTTGTTGAGCTTTTGTGGGTCCTTTTTTTTAATGCTTAATGTTTTTGGATAAGAGCCAGATCCTGTTAAATAAAAGGCTCTAGGAGTAAAATTTAGACAGAAATAGGATCTAAATATGGCTCAATTAACTATTTTCACCACAGGAATTATTAACTTAATCTTTGCTTCTTAACTCCCTTCTTATTTTACGTTCTCTGTTCTCCTCTGGAAAAGGAGACATGCTAGGTGATTGTTGTGTAATTTGGAGTGCTACATATGTAGTGCACTTGCACAAGAATATGAGTATTAGAAATATTAAGAGTTGAGCTGCTGCCTAAGGCAAGGGCAGGGCACTGTTTGCATGACACTCCTCTTAGTCGTGATGCATGCGGATGCTGAAGCTGTTCTGAACAAGTACCCAGTTTCTGTACACCTCAATAAGCTGTAGCTGCAGAGTGTCTCCCTGAAGACTCCTTGCCAGAGCTGGCTCAGCAATGCAGACTTACTGCTTCCAGCTTAACTACATTTGTCCTCGGAATTAATGAAAAGAATGAAGGCCAAGCAAGCTCATCACTCACCCATCTGCTTCTTTCTCTCTCCTTTGTCTGACCTTCATCCCAGTCAAGGCTAGAGACTTTTGTTCTTCTCTTGCAAGAGTTCTTGGGAAATACGGATGATATGGGTGACAGTTGGAAGAGCTTAAAGTTCAGCTTCATCCCGTGCAATCACAAACCATTCTTCCTGTTTTCTATTTCAGGAGAAACTGTCCACTTATTTCATGATAAAGTCACCTGAAGTCAGCCAGAGCTTACAGAAAGCTGGTATGAGTCTTAAAGTAGTTGTTGACTCTGTTAACCTTTTTTATAGGTAGTCCACCTTTGAAGAATTGAATGCAGAGGAAATACAGAGCATTTTAGGAAAATTAACATAAAACTAATTCAGACAGTAAAAACAAAAATGCTGAGGTAAGAGGTCTCAGAAGGAAACACAGAATTAAGATAGGCACTGCGGTTTGTCTCCTGAGGGATGAGATAATTGCGATTACAGCATTATCTCTAATGATCAGGGCCTTCTGCATCCCCTCAATATTATATGATTGCTCAGTAATTTTCTCTGCAGTGCTCTGTTTGACTGTTGAGTTGAATCTGTTCCCAGATTCTCTGCTTGTTGCTCTTTCATGGTGTTACTTTTGTCAGCAATGCCCCTGTACCCAAACACAATCACTGTCCTCTGTTTTAGTGAGCTGCCTTATGCTCTACCTGACTGTCTTGCATGACTGAACTAGAAACAGATAGTTTGGGGTTTTTACCTTTGTAGATTGCCCGGCCATATCTTCTTTTGGGACAATCATTCCTAAGTTTTAATGGCAATAAGGATTTGGAACTCTTCTCACAATAGGTAACATCCCTTTCTCCTAGGATAGCCATTTCCAGTGAGTACCAGAGTTGTCTTTACTTCAGGAATCTTGTTGAGTTTGACACTATACTTCCTGTCCTAATACCTATGTGCCAAAAGTGATAGTGGAGATAAAACATTAGAGATATCTTGGTAATGCTAAATATAGATAATGTCATAGATCCCTCTTAAATTTCTGATAGGATTTTAAGAATGGAAAAGCTTTTCCTCTTCTGTTTCCCAGTTCTTTTCCTATTTATTCCGCCTTGGTTATTCACAACAGGCATAGAATAGCTTCTTAAAAGTACCTGGAAGACTATTGGTAATTTTAATTTTCAGAGTTACTTCCATATCCTTGGTTTGAGGTTTTTAGTGTGGAGGAATCTTTCATTGGTGTGTACATGCAACAGCTCTCTGGCCCCTTGACCTCTCTGGTGAGAAGTGATCACTTGTCACTGAATTCGCAGGCTAAAGACGAAGCAGAAAGATGTTAGCTCATCATGCTGTATGCAAATAGTGCTGTTTCTTTATTTCTTTATTTTTTTAATTCACAGGCAACGTGTGTATGTACATGGGTGTATATCTCCAGGAAGACTTGATGAGATTGCATGTACTTGCATTAGCTTACAGGCAGTTTTTCAGATTCCTGTTGTCGTGATGGTTCTCTCTTTGGTAATTTAGTGTGTTAGAAGACTTGTAACACAAAACAAGAAACACATACCCAGGAGAGGCAGCTCATGAAAGACCATAAGTAATCTCATTCCAAAGTCAAGCATTTGAATTTGCACGTGTCCTGCTCTTCTGGTTAAATCTACTTCTAGGGAATGATTCAGGAAGTATTTTTATTTAAATGCTAACTGTGATCACAGTATCTAATTTTCAAATAAAATCATACATAAAATGGAAATGGAACAATATATTCAGTGTGACCTCCTCAAATGTACATGTTGTAGGTGTTACAGGATCACGATATTAGTAATAATCAAGAAGAACCTTTTCAACGAAACTCCTTCAAAGCACGTGTCATTAGGTTCTTCTCCTGGATAACAGGAATGAACCGTTTTGAACATCTTCACATAAGGCAATAAACGTATGTGCGCAATAGTGCACATGTGTGTGTGTGTGTAGAGCTAAAGCAAAGGCAGATAGCGTGTGCTGGCAGCATTCTGTGCAGGTCTGCAGCTTTTTAAGAGGGGCAATTCCACCCGAACCCAAGCCTTTTATCTACTAAGAGCGTGAACTGTATGTACTTGTTAAACAGGAAGATGTTGCGGTAACAGAAACCCAGAATTACTGCAGTAATTCTATTTCTTTTAAAAAAACTCCACCATGTGAATAAGTACAGACAATTGTAAAATCGGTGTTCTCAACGTTGGAAAATACCTTTATAGACTTGTGAGTATTTCTGCGCATTTATGGATTTATTAATGAAAGAACAGAAATTTCTGGTTCAAACTATTAAATTTATGAATGAAAACTGCAAATCATAAAAGGCTGACATGAGCTTTTTTGATCTTTTAACATTACATAGTGGCTTGTAAAGACAAATTTGTTAAAATCTTAATGAAAAGGTTAACTTTGCCCCAAAAACCTGCACTCAAGGCTTAGCCTGTTGCTTTCCTCTAATGGCCAGGAGCATGGTTGTTTGCATGCTTTGTTTGTGAGGCATCCTGGCAGCTTGGAGTGACTAATACAAAAAATCTGTAAAAGTCTGTAAAATTAGTAAGGCTGAGCAGATCCTCAGTGCAGTCTAATTCTTCTGCCTATCATAAAGGAAATGATTTTCCACGGAGTTTTAGGAGCTGGGCTCTTGTGCATGCGCTCTGCTTGTCTTCTGCATCTGTGTGAACCTTTGTTTGCTGATGGTGGTTGATGTTTCACAGTGAACTTTGCCACAGTAAATCTAAGCAGAAGTAAAAGAGCACAGTAGTAGAGTTGGAAATACATTATATCAGAAGAAGGCTTTTTTTTTTCTGTAAAGTTGTCTCTTCTGTGAAAACAGTCTCAATAAGGTTTATTAGGAATTTTGTCTGACGTGAAAAAAGCGTGTATGAATCAACACTAATATATATTTCTTGCCATTAGCAAGTAAATGTAAATACTAACTCTAAATATATAACATATATAAATGGCAAATGAATATGAATAAATACTATGAGGAAAATTTCACAATTGCAGCTCCAGATTCACAGAGGTTGCTCAGCCTATCATCTGTCCCCTGCTGAAAGCAGATGAGGGCCAACCAGTTAAAGTGCCTTGAAATGTTTATAGTTTGTTTTCTAGTTAGAAAATAGAATTTTCTATTTGCTTTTTTTTTCCTGTGGAATTAAAACTTAGAATCACTGACCCTTGCTAAATCTCTGAAACTGTAAATTTTTTCACAGAAAGTTTCGCACTGATTTTGTAATCCTTTTTCAGAAAAAAATATTGCCTGTGGTTTAATCATTGCCATTTATTTAAGATATCTTTATTCTCTTTTGGAAAAAACGTACATAGATCTTTATGAAAATTTTGTGCTTCTCTGTTTTGAAAACTGTCAGAAAATACAGCAGTGACATTGCTAGTTTTAAAATGCATTATATATATATATATATATATATATATATATATCAAAGAGAGCTATCTTCCTGGGCACAGTAGGGCAAGGGCAGAGTGAGAGGAGAAGCAAAGCTAACTGTGTTGTTCAGAGAGGGAGAGGATATGACAGTTCCGACTCAGGACCCCTACGTTCCTTCCTGGGGAGCAAAAACCAAAGGTCTGTCTGCCTTCTCTGCAGACTGATACACTAGTATCCAAGCAATGTAAGAACTAAATTTACTGTGATTTTTGTTTTTCCTCCAGGCTGAGTTTCTTAAACAATATTAGTAAGCGGAAATTGCCCTTTGAAGTTTTGATTTCCAAGGTTTTGGTCATAAAACACCGCACACTGAAAGCTGCTAGGAGCAAGGTCAAGAGCAGATGGAAGGCATCGCAAAATGCCTGGTGAGCACTGCTCTGTGGAGAAGTAGAAGTCAGGCCAGCTCTTTATGTGGAGCATAAGTGAGTTTTGAAGACTCAGAATAACTTCCCTTGAAACAAAAAGTTAGAATCTATCCTACCTGCCATGAGTTGCCTAAATCTTCTCTTCCACTTCCACCTGCCTGCTCTGCTCTCATAGCTTTGGTTTGCTTTTAGAGGGAAAGCAAGGTAGTGAGAGAAATCTGAAATTCTTTACATGACACTAGTCTGTGCTGAGGAAGAAGCATGTGGGTTAACATCAAGACTACCTTTATTCATTCTGCATATTGTATGTCTAAAAAAAAGGGTGACAGTCAAAGATACTGTGAGCCTAAAGGAGACATAGAGTTAACTTGCAGCATCCAGTTCCTGGGATGCTGCAGATACCCGTACAGTATGAGTCTTCACTGGCATAGTGTTTGCAGAAGCAGTTGCTTAGGGTAGAGCATGAAAAAGTAGCGAAGCTCTTGGGCATTTTGCAGTTCTACTGTAGAGAGTCACATGTAATATTAGTCATACCTCAAGACACAGCTTCACACTTGTTAAAATCCTCATGCTGAAGGGACCAGGAGAATAACACTGGACATAAAGAGGACAGTGCAGTGCTTCCGAGGAAGAAGTTTCGAATATGAGTTCTCAACTGTGAATGCCATTTTGTTGTAGCGTTTCAGTTCTTGATTCTGTGCCATCTAGCTCATGGGGAACAATTAATCTTTTATAAGAACGGCAACTTTAAAGTTGTATTAACACTGAAATAGCATCCTAGAACCTGTCAGAAACTGTAGTTTTCATTTCTAGGAATTTTGCATTAAATTGTATGCAGGATACAACTTATTTGATTATTCACATTAAATACGTTTTTATTAAACAACGAAGTTGAAATATTGTGGAATCATCTAATTACTTTGTTCAGTATATTCCCAAAGTTGAAATATTGTGGAATCATCTATCTAATTACTTTGTTCAGTATATTCCCATATACAGACTTTTGACATTTAGCAAAGATTTGCTATGGGAGTGAGTGGAGAGAACTTTCAACAGTCTCCAGGTGAAAAGCCTGGCACTAAAGGAGAATTTGCAACGGTTTTCACAATGACGATTGATTGCTAACTGATTTCTGCAGTTTTATTGGTTTATTTTTTCCTTTAACTTGTAGAACCACATCACGGCCTTTGCAGAAGTCACATGATATTGACGCTGATGTTTATTCACTCCATTGGACTTCATCTCTTTTCACAGCCCACTCATGATAATTGCAGTGTATAAAAAAAAAAAAAAGAAATTTTAAAAAGTCCTATTTCTGACTTGATTTTTACATGATTAAATTATATCAACATTTTGAAAAATTCTTATATATTAAAACGTTACTGTTTACTTTTTGGTGGAATGGGACAAACTGAGCACTAATACCATTTATCTGATAATACCCTTTATTTTGGCTTCTCATTGTATTAAATGGTTCATGTACTTATTCCAGCAGTACTTCATATTTTGATTTGAATTTGATTTTTTTAATTTGCATTTTTAATTCAGCATGAACATGTTTCCATTTAAAGCAGTTTCAGTGTATAAAAACTAGGAAAAAAAATATATTCTGTATGAAAATGCTGTTTGCACATTGTATTACACTGTATTCCATGTAAGATATCATTCAAAACGTATGTTATATGTAAGACTGGTGCTTCTGCTTTTGAAGAGAAAAAAAAATGCCAATTTTTACTGTAATAAGTATTGTATCATAATTAAAAGTTTATTTATTTGGATATTTTCCTGACATAATTGTAGTTGAGTTGTTGTTTTGTAGTTCTTGAATGTCTTGAATGATATATATGTATCTAGGTTAAAAGTGATGAAAATAATATAGAGATTTTTGATCACTGATATTCTTTCTTACTGATGATATCCCATGAAGGTTAAGGGCTCCATTCTTAGTTCAGCATATCTGATAGGAAGTAGTACTAAGCATAAAACATAGAAACAAATCATTCAAGGAAGCCTGCATCTTCTTCTCACATGATTATTGTACACCCTGATATTATGCTAGGAGAATGGGTGCTAAGATATGAGGAAGGTACATACATGTTTTCACCCTCCATTTTCACCTTGAAGCACTCATGCAAAAACCAAAGCAACTGCAAAAAGGGGCCAGAATATATCTCTGTGGAGCTTTCTATCTTTATGACAAGGTAATATAATTGATGAAAGGTGTTCTCCGCCAGTCTGTACAGTGCTGGCAGGAACTGATGTTTTCAGCATCAGGCAGTGGCATCATATCTCCCTCGTCGCTGTGAGTAATCAGTTGTCTCCCCTTCCAAAGGCAGCCTTGCTCTCCGTTCATAGCAAAGTTGTCCTACCAAAATTGAGAGACAAATAGATTGGAATGTTGTCAATACTGAATATAGTTGAAGTATCTGCTAGAACGTTTTCTTTGGCAACAGTGGATACAACACCACTATAAACACCCAGTGATTTGTTGAAATAAACATAACCTTTTAGGCCTTATTTTTTTCATGATATATTGTATTTCCTATGGATTAATCATTGGTAGAATTTTTTTGAATTTTTTGAAACAAATTACTGTGGAATTTGGTATACTTTCTATGTTGAATATTAATTCATTCCCACATACTTGTCTGGTGAATACAGTCTTTTTATTGTAACCTCTGCTTTCACCAAAATACTTGCCTACCACTTCCTAAATACTGCTTGTGAAACAAAGCAAGGCCAGGTCTTCTTTGAGTGCAGTAGAGCATGTCTCACAAAGTCATTATGCTAAGCTGAGAAATAAAGAAATACATCTGTTTGGAAGAAAGAATAGAGCCCTTAGCTACAAGAATGTTACTAGGTGATTGAAAATGCACCTTTATTAGAATATCAGCTATGTTTACAAGATTTGTTTCACCATGTTAGGAACACTTATCCTTTCCTTAGTCTAGTTGTTTAGGGCACAAGGTACTAATGATTTCTCTGTGTGCAGATTTAAATGAAATCTTCACTCATTTTTGCATGGTAGCAAACCTGCATTTTTTTATATCTGATTTATAAGATTACCAACAGATTCTTTTATGTTAAAAGAGATGACTCTTTTTCAGTGTACTGTATATAATCAGCTTGTAACTGGTCTCTTTCTCTCTCAGGATCTTCCCAGTCAAATATTTGGGTTAAATTTATCATGTTATCTCTGTGAACCAGCAGTGAGAAAACAAAAAGAGATACACTCTGCTGTATAATGTATTTTTAAATAAAATAATTTTTCATTCATGTGTACTGTATTTTTTTAGATATTTGCTCTCATTATAAATTGATACTACCTATAGTAAAATTATTTTAGAAGTCAGCTGCATTTGATGATGAATATTCACAGTCAGCCAGGAATTGCCACCGTTAACCACCTCCCCCTAGAGGTGACTCTGGCACAAGTGAAAAGCAGGAGAGGCAGGAGAAGAAGAGCTGTATTGCAGAAGAATCCGCAATTTGTTGGTAAAAAGGTCTTGGCCAGGATGTGGGCCAGTCATGCTCCAGACTACACCTTGCTTGATTTGGAGAAGAGCTTAGAAGTTCCTGCTCATACACCCCTAGCAGCTTCGCTACCCTGGGAATGGGCGTATGCCAGTCCATTCTGGTCCACTCTGGACATGAAAAAGCTTTCAGTAGGAACAACTTGCCAAAACAAAAATAAGCTGGCATTTTCTCACTGAAAGGGCTTTTTGGTGGTTGCTCTTTAGAAAAATCCCAGTGAGGATTCTCTGACAAGCCAGGCATCATCATTCATTTGGAAAGTATTCTGGCTCAGAGTGCTTTCCAGAAAAAGCACGGCAATTGAAGACAGCATTTCAGTGGTTTTGAATGCAGCTGTTACTATGATCTCCTCATGGACCTTTTCTGAGTGTACTTCAGTGAAACAACTCCACTTTATATAAATGAGATGCTTAAGAAGCATCCCTAATGCTATATGCTGCTGTGTTCCTAAAAGTGGAACTCATAAGGCATATGGGGACACCAGCTGTGCTTGTATCCATACCGTTTTAGATTTACTTATATATATTCTACTGTTTGTTCGTAATCATGAACTGCATAAGACATAAGGCAGTAGCATCTGGGCTCACATCTCGTCAGCATTTAAAAAAATTCATTTTAACAATGTGTATTAAAAGAGAATAACACTGCTATTTTTCAGCTGCAATTTTCTTTGCTATTTGCTGTTGTTCTAATTTTGTTGCTGTCCAAGATCACAGCAAGTGTGACAGTCCATTTGCACATTATGTTAGCAGGGAGCTTTTTATACTCTTTCCAAGTCAAATTTTGGTATTTTTAAGTCTTACCATGCAGAAGGCAGAGTGCATTGCATTTTAAGAACAGATAAGGTGAGTTTGCTATGACTTGACCAGATATATCCCTGGGTCTACACATTGCCTGGGCCTTGGGGATGCTCAGGAGCATTTTGCAAGCAGAAGGGCAGAGGATTGAAGGTTGGGGAACAGAGCTCCAGACCACTGAGCCCGTTCAGTATCTGGCTGTACCCCTCTTCAAGCAGCCTGGATGATCCATAAGTAGGAGTATTTTCAGCTGGAACTGCCTCTGACAGCTGATTTGATGCCAGTGCAACTGACTTTCCTGCTCATCTGCCCCCAGATGCCTTGCAGAAACCAGACAGGTCAGGCAAGATACCATCCCCTCGCCCTGAGGTGCATTATGAGCATGGCTGCAAAATCATTACAAAATGCGGAAGGGGTGTGACAGGGAAAATGCCGCCTTATATTCAGTAACATATGTGCTAATTTCTAGTAGATTTGTTGGATTTTCTAACTTAAGATACCAATATGGTAGTAGATGGCATTTCTGCACTCTTGAAATACCTCACTAGATGAGGATTGTTGCTATTAGCATGCTATTTCTGCTAATAAATTGTCTGCTGCTTTTTACTCTTGCTACTCTTGCTTAAAGAAGCAGTTACTGTTTTCTTTCCTTGGCAACCTCTATTTATACAGCGACAACTGGCAGCTTGAAGATATTCTATTCTAATATTCTGAAAATAAGTTTAATGTGAAGAGAGTGAAGTGCTCATTTTGGAAAACAGAAAAGCTCTTCTGGCTCTTGCTTGAGACAGAAGGCTTGAAACTAAGTCCTAGTAGGAAATATCAAGAATAGAACAAGATCCTTATCTTTGTCAATATTTGATATTGCTGGCAAGACTGGGTGATAGATCATATTTAAGATTAATATCCTATATTTCTCATCAGTTAGAGAAAACACAAGCATATTGTTTTGGAGCATAACATTTTCCAGAGAGAAAGAGAGAATAGTGATGTTTGTTCTCAGAGTTTACTCAAAGACGGTAAACACAGTGTGAGAGAGGAGGAATAGAGAGACTCTAAACAAACTGTTTTAGGAAATGAGAGTTTTCCCATTTTAGGAGTCTTTAGGAAAGAAACAAAATGAGTAGAGACTTAACATTAGTCAAATATGTAACAGAATTCTATCATCTTAGGTATATATTACATACGGGAATATTGCCTTCTTAGGAGTGTGTTTGTTTCACAGTCAATTGACATTTTGCTTAGAAGAACAGATAATTATGAGATGTTTAATCTGCAGTTTTTTGTCAGCTTAGGAGAAGTTGGTGCTCTTGTCATGCTGGACAATATCTGTTATCACTTCTTATTTACTGCCTGGTGACCTGTCTTCCTTGCATAATACATCCATCTTTCTTATCAGATGTTATGTGTTGCTGTGTCATATTGTGTCATAACCATCAAGTGTAGTAGCACGTTGGACTTTATCAACATCAAAATGCATTTTTCAGATGCGTATTTCAGGCTCTAAATATGGAAGTGGAAAGATGTGGTGATGTGTCATTTATTTCAGCGGGAGTGAAGCAGCAGCAAAAAAAAAGTATTTTTTCCAGATAAAAAAAA